CGCACTCGTCACGCCGCCATCGAAAACATTAAGAGATAAGTTGCGTAAGAGATTACACTGAATAAGAGGACCACAAACCAAGTTCTGCTTTTAAGAAAACCACTACTTAAAAAAAAAATTGTCTGCCATAAAACTCTCATAGTACTTCTATCGCGTTTTCGCTGTAGTATTTGCGAGTTGCAAACTGTAATTAGTTGCTCAGGAAGTCGACTTTAAAATAAGTTGGCCCTTCCCTATTCACACTTTGCGTAACTGCCAAAGAACGTCGTTACGTAAGCGCGACATAAGCCTTTGCCTCTCACGCCACAATTTGGTAACAGAAATATACACAGTTCACAGGCGTAAAAATGCGTAACATCGTAAACTCCAATTAGGCTGTCCTAATTTAATAGAAACACGGGCGATTGAAAATCCCCTCGAATTCGCGAGATGCGAACCTGCAACTCACTGTAGCTCCTTGAAAATAGACAACAAACCCTGCGATAAAATTTCAGCATGTAAAAGAAAATGCTAATTTTTTAAAAACGCGCGGAACGCGACAATGACTTTTTTGTCCGATGCTGACGCCAAACGCATTGGTCCCGAAAAAAATAATCATCCCGAAAAGCCATTTTCCAAACTGAGCAACTAAACACATTTTGTGCCTCACAAATACAGCAGTGAAATGAGGTATTAAACACAAAGACGCACTATAAACCTAAAACGGGATTACAAAAACAACGACTGGATAATTTAATGCAACTTAACATAGTGATAGTAAATTTCCAAATAATTTTACGAATTTTGCAATATTTCAAGGCAATTACTTTTGAAAAACATGAATTAAAGATTAAAATAGTATCCAGATTTGGAGACGGCGACATCCTCAAGGAAATTAAACGCATGTTTTAACCTTCTTTGTAATTTTAAATTTTCAAATAATTTTTAGAACTTTCAAGTATTTCAAGAGAATCTTTTAACGTGAATTACGAATTCAATTATATCCAAGTTTAGAGACGGCTAAATCCTCAAGAAAATTAAGTGCCTTTTTAATTTTTTTCTCTGTAAGTGTAAATTTATAATAAAGAATTTTGCAATATTTCAAGAGAATCTGTAAATATGACTTCGAGATTATACTGTATCGAAATGTAGAGACAGTTATACCCTCAAGTAGTACGTCTTTGTGCGTCTGAGAGCTTTATAACGATTTCCTTGTACCCTCATATCACTAACTTTACAATGGCCCATCTTGTTTTGTCAGGAGACTTCACTTAAAACACAACCCAAATGGGGTGTAATTATTTTCATGGATTTTCCGCAAGTTCTGGACAATAAACCAACCAAGACTTTATGGCGTAATTTCAAAGGGATTAATAAATAGCACAGGTAACTCACATTTATTTTGTACTTATCACTTCAGCAAAAGTTCAAACAAAGTTATCGGAATTTAGTTTTAAAAAGAAATAAATATCTAAATCACACAGTGAAATCCCAATTTTGATTTCTAGATTCATCAATAATGCATTATAACAAATCTGCATAGTCAAAGTAATGAGAGTTTGGCAGAAACATGAAAATTCAATCTTTTTGAAAACTCGTAACGTTTTTGAAGTCCATTAAAAACCAACGATAAAACCACTGAATAGCAAAGTGGAATCACTATTTTCATTTTCTACTGATCAATAATTCTTTTTGATAAAGCCTTATGGTCAAAGTAACTGGAATTCAGTAGAAATCGAAACTAAAAACTAATCTCTTTGATTGAGTGCAGTTACTATTACTTTTTTTACTTCATCAACAATTCATTTTAACACTTGCACATTGCACTTAACCGGTGATTAACAGATTGAACAAAGCAAAATATTTCAAACTTTTTCATTGCCTGTCGTCATATTTTCCAAGTATTTTGCAGATTTGGGTAACTTGCAAATGTATTGTTTTCAAACTCATGCTGAAGGGATAAGTGTTAATAAATATACTGAATGGTGACGTCATATTAGTATCAATGGGCCACTGTGCAGTAACTAATACCACAGACATGCATAGCCAAACAGAGGTCAAATGAAAACTAACACACATCGCAAACAATAACATGCATCCTATACAAATTTGTTGAAAGTGGATAACACCTCAGAGAAGAATGTGAATAACAATATGAATAACCAAAAACAAAGAATTCTTCAAAAAAATAACAGGCAAGCCATAGAATTTGCGAAACAGCTTTTCAGAGAGTAATAATATTAGTTACTCAACAACTTTGTTCTATTTGTCAGCTGTAACAACTACTGCTAAAATCAATCAGTCCTTACCATGTTTTCATGAGGAGTCTTCAATTTAGCAGTTACTCCATTATCAATTTGCCAAATCATATTCACTTTCTTAGCAATTAATTTATCAAGACACTGTGGCTACAACAGCAGAGTTTTTGTTCAGCATGTCAATAAAAATTAACTGGACTACAAAATGAAGTCTCTTGTTGCTTGTTGTTTTGAAATGGTTAAAGGAGACGGTCACTCCAAAAAACGTAAATAAACGTATATTTTCTGTCAACCCTTTATAACAATCTTGCAAGGTAGCCCAAAATTTGACATCCTTACCGCCATTTTGAACAGTACTCAGTAGCCAGGCTGCATTTCCGTTGCGTCATTCCTTGCAAGAGATTTTGTCCAAATGGCTTCCGACAAGCCTTTTAACTACCATTCTGGGTTATGGCTGCTCTTGAGCCATATTATTTTGAGCCAAACTTGCTCCAGACTGGGAAATGATAGCATAAATGAAGATAGTGAAGTGGATCCTCGCTAGCAAAAATACATTTTGATTCAAGTCAGTTGCAGGTTTTTCTCCTTCTCGCCAATTTCAAGTCGGACAGAATGACGTCACATAAACACGGCCTGGCTACCAAGTACAGTTTCAAAATGGCAGCCTCTGAAGTTGCTTCTTTCGAGACAAATTTCTTCAAGATAGCAGGCACTTCAGAAGGTGAAACTTCAGTGAAAGGAAAATTCTGAATGTTTACTTGCTATAGGCGAAGACAAAAAAAGTAAGCTTTTTGGAGTGACCTTTTAAAATCGATTGACTTCTGATGCTGAGTTTCATTTTTCACTAGCTAGAAAGGAAATTTTTGGAAAAAAATTTCTTTAAGATATGTAGAACAAGAATGAACGAAATCATGATAAGTCATCAACATTCAGAAGTGTTCTCACTCTCCTGAAAAACTACTGTATTTCCTCAGTTGGCCCCTTCCCTCTGTAAAGAGTCCAACCTGCCCATTTATTTTTACTTGTTGTTCAGTACCCCTATCAGGGGTAAAAGTAGAATTATACCCTCCAGCCCCACCTACCCCCCCCCCAAAAATATTCTCTCCATCTCTGTGACAAAGGTTTATTGACCCATCCATGGAATTCCTTCTTGACGACCCACCTTAAAGTTCATATGCAACCCTTCAACTATAAGAAATTGATGTTTTGTAGTTTTTTTTTTCTGAAGGCAAGAAAGCATACAATGTACATACCCCCATGTGTACTTTGTTACAGTGTACATGTACATGCGCGTATTAACTGGCAAGATCGCCATGTTGTAGTATGCTTCTCCCCTCCCCCTAATTACTCGTATGCCAATCTATATTTGATTCTAATGATCTAAATGGCAGGGTGTTTTCTAGTATGTGAAACCAATCAGGGGAACACGTACGCGTATTTCTCACATTATCACAGAACAATCTCTTCCACTGATCCTCAAGCCCATCTGTCTAAGGACACCAACTTAACCCCTTGCCCAGTACAATTTTTCAACGACGATGAAAAATTGCAGTTTGCTTGAATTTTTTTTGAAGGGGAGAAGGAAGGGGGAGGGGGTGTTAAATGATGAATTTTAGTCAGAATTTTCTTTCAACTCCTTCTATCCAGTATCTCTTACAATTAGCCCCAATCTCTTCCTTTTTCCTGTTTTGATCCATACGATGGGCCATCATATTACAGTGTAGCAGTGACACAGCAGCTTAGCACTCTTTCAGCCATAAATTTCTAAGCCCTTCCAGTTGAGGTCAAAAAGGACAGAATTTCCTGGTGGTGTCAACGATAAATTTATACAGATCATAATGGTTTTGTACAATCCCAGAACTTTGAATTGGAAGTATTGATTATATCGAGTCTCCATTCTAATAACGAAGTCTTTCCAAATCTCCTTTTCAACCTACAAATTGCAGTTTTGATATCTGATATTACTGTTTTATGAAAAGCCCTTCTTCCAAAGAGCGTCCCTTTTTTACATGTGTACGTGTATGGGAAGCTCAGGAACTAAGGAAGTCCAACAGGGGTTTCAATGAGGAAATACAGTAAGAACATGAAACATAACCAAATGAAATGTTATCCACTTTAAAACTAATTTACTTACTGAGCCAATGAAAGCATTTTAAATTATTTACATGTCTGTGGAATTTCAAAATTAAAAGCAGAACTTGGTTTACATCAAGAAATGCAATGATCAACTCAAAACCAATCCTTAACCTGGGGAACCCTGGGAAATAATAGTGAATCATGACAAGGTCGGAGAGTGGTGGGGGTCGAGGGGGGGATTGAGGATGTCCTTACATTATGTCCCATTCTGAGGTGCCCAAAGGAACAACTGTCATGTTACCAACCACAAAGAAAAAAGTGGACAAGTATCAATAAGTAGTTTGTCTAGTATGAAAGCACTGATGCTTTGAGAACCTGTCAAGCCATTATGAAAAGGTAGTAATCAGTGACTGATCACTTATGGTCTGATTCAACTGTTTCACTCTTGGTGAAGTTTGTGTTGAGGCTGGTTGAAAAACATCATGTGAGTTCTGTTGGAGACAAGTAATACCATAGTGACTACTGTAGGGGCAAGTAGTTGTTGGTATAAGTTGAGCAGTGTCTGTTCTTACATGTAGTTAGTTTGGTGGTCCCTTATTGAAAATCATTAGTGTGTTGTACTATAGATTTCAACTTGAATGGAGTTAGTTCAGTAGCTTGGTCTGATTATTATTTTTTTTTTTAAATAAAGGTACAGTACAAAAGGGAACCTCCCCATTTTCTCCATTTATTCCCTGAACCTTCCCTGATTTTGAAAACAAAAATTTCCCAGACTATTTTGGATGCTATAACTTACAATAGTGCATTAATTAACAAAAGAAAAAAAGTGGTGCATTTTAATTCTTTCTCTGCTGTAGAATTTGATGACTTGGGTACCCTGTAGGGATGCCCTTGGGGGATTCCCCTGAAGGAGCCAGATTAAGTTTTGATTTGATCATTGCATAAGAACACAAGTGTTTACCTGGTCCTGGATTGCAAAAAAATAAATAAATAAATAAATAAATAAATAATCATTTTAGAATAAGTTTGTGGATAGTATCCTCCTCCTGTCTTATCCCCAGGTATTTTGTCTTCAGCTGTTCAAAAGAAGAAATAGAAACATTTAGATACTGTACAAATGTTTATAGTGTAGTGGCATAACACCAGGTGAAAATAATGGCCCCCAGATTAAGAAGCCTTCCCAAAGTCCTTGAGTTATGATCTTAAACACAGCACTTAACTCAAACAGTAACTTACTTCACCAAGGATTATAAATGGATACCAGCAACCTACAGTGGAACCCATTAATATGGTCACCAACGGGCCATGAAAATTTGGCCGTGTTAATGGGTTGGCTGTATTAATGGGGTAGGGTCAAATTTTGTGACTGATCTAAATTGAGTGACATCTTAAAAGAAGTAACAGATATTAATATCACAACTTCTGAACAACTGTTCTTTCAAAAATATCTGGAATGCAGATAGAATTTTAAATAAATTGAAACTTCAATCAGTTCACACAATATTTAGATTGGAAAGATGAACATAACCTTCACCCAGACGTTCACACTATATGAACTACTGATACTCCTAGGTTTAAACCATTTACTATATAACTGGCTGAGTGGCCATTTAAACAGGGTAAGATTGTAAAGGATTATACAGGTTGGGATTTCAAAATGTGGAAGTTGGCTGTATTAAAGGGCTGGCTGCATTTACAGGGTTTTTCTGTGAGAAAAATGTATGGGCATTTTGCCAGGACAAAAAGAATTTGGCATACTGTAGTAACAAGGTGACCATAAGGTGGGGTTCCACTGTACTAGACTAACATGACGAAATGGCGATAACCACGGAATTAAGAATAATTTGTGTTACATGCGTGAATTATCAAACACGTACATTATACAAGTAGTCACTATAATTATAACCTATACAAAATGCTTAACTTGACTAAAAGGTAATGAACCCCCTATGAAAGTAGCAATTAAATTTCATGGCTGTTAACAAATGCTGAAAGTAGTAACATTCTCAAAGTAAAGCCCTGGCCAAATAGACCTGCAAGTACATGTAGAGGCAAGCTCAAAACTTGGGTCTACTCGCGACTTCGTTTGGCAAGGCCTTCGCAGCACTTGCGTTGACCTGCGATGACTTACGCTCACTTTGGTCAAGATCAAATTTGCATGCAAGTCGATGCAAGTTTTCATAGCTGGGCCACTCAATGTAGTCAGCTACATGTATCACATGTGATCACTGATGAAAAATATATACAGTGACGATTAATAAATACTGACAATATGACAGATCATTAATTATTCCAAGTGAGGTGCCAGCACTTAAATCCTTCATCTCTTTGGTTACATTATTTCTCTGTCAAGTTCTGGCATCAACTGATTTGTGAAATGTGTTGCAATTAATTTTACCCTACCACAAGTGAAAATTTTTAAGTGTTAATAAAAAAAAATACCAAATGAATGAATGCATTTTGTTGTTATCAAGGGTTACATCAACATTTACAGCAGGAGGGCAACTGGTTTTCACAAGCAGGCAAAATTCTCTCAACTGAACTTATTCAGAAGAAAACCTTTTCTGTAGATGGTCAAACCAGGCTGGCAAAATCATCCTCGTAGCCGGTCAATTTGCCTGCTGCCCAGCACCTAATGAAACCCCTGATTTACTATTAAGGGACACTGTCATAGGCATGTGTGAAATCTTGAATATTGTTACAGAATTCTGTGTTCAATACACCATTTGAAAGCTCAATGAATGCAGATTCTTAAGATAATGAAGATACATGAAATAGGTGCAGATTCCACAAAATATCGATGCCCTTCCATCTTCATCTAAACCCCCTTCTTGAAAAATATCTGCCTGTAGTCACACTATTGTTTATGCTCTACCGCCCCCTTGAAATGATTGGCATGAAAGAATGAGAATTTCTTGCCCTGAAAAAATGTCTCAAGTAACCAATTTACAAATGTATTCATGATGAAAAACAGTCAACAGACGTGAACATCTAAATTTAGCTAAATTTAAATCATGTGGTGCCAGAACGAACAAAGGAGGTATAAACCTAAACATCAAGCTCAGGAGACGAAAGGTTCAAACAAATTCAGGATGCAAGAAACATAACTTTGATAATACAGAACAGATCTCTAAGATTCTCGAAGTAACGTCACAGCAATCTCTGGCGATGCCGGTCAAATCTTGATATGATGCGTGGTAACCAGGATCAGGACCACTGAAGTAAGCCACACAACTTAACACAGTTTAAATCTAACAACTGGGCCTGGCATCACAATATAGAATGCAAGTAATCAACATGATCACCGACTTGTCCCTCCTGAGAGAATAATTAAAAAAAGATACCACATACATTTCTGCAATAGAAATGACGCAAGACAAACCACACTTTATAACTCGGCACATGGCAAATTACGGAGATGTCAAACTCTACTTAACAGATAGATTCCATGTTGCCGTGCGTCTGTTCAGTAATAGATTACAGATGACGTCAAAATGTGGTAAGAACAAATAAGTGGCACACGAGGCGAT